CCTGAGCAGCTGATTTAATTTTGCTGGTTTTGCTGGTTTTGCTGGTTTGCTGGAGGCTGCGGCCGGTGATCTGGTCTCACATCCGATCAGCTGATTTCTGGCCTGGTGAGTTTCAGAACCTGAATCGTTGTTGCTCTCGGTCGGGTGTGATATCAGCTGCAGCAAGGTGTGTCTTGTCTGCAGGTCAGTTTGGGGTTAACTGCGTGCTGCGTTCAGGGCCGGTCATGTTAATTCAGCTGTCAGCGACCTCAGACGGCTCTGTGATCCTGCAGCTGATGAAGCCGGCTTCCTTCATTCTGTGAACGTTTGCTGTGAAAGCTGAGTTCTGTGCCGATGTCAGGGATGAAGGACGCGTCGCAGGAGGAAAACGTTTCTCTGGAGAATCCAGGAAGAAGGAAAAAGTTCAACAAGATTCATGAGAAACTTCAGAGATGAAGAAACACACAGCCACCATTTTGGATGGTGAAAATCTCATGCAGGTGTTTTTCCGTTTTCCCTCCAACCAACTTTACATTTAAACATATCAGAATACACATTCAGACAAAACATTTCTGCTGACAGCCTTCATAAAGGAAACGTCATGCTGACACATGTCAGGTGTTGAGCTCATGTGCAGAACTTGGCCTGAAATGACATGGTGAGCTGGTTTATATTAGCAATCAATAGAGCACAAATAATGTTTTCTAACATTACTGTGAAAATGCCAGAAACAAAATATTCAGGGTGCGTTCAGGTGTGTTAAGATGCGTTCAGGTGTGTTAAGATGCGTTCAGGTGTTCAGGTGTGTTAAGATGCGTTCAGGTGTTCAGATGCGTTCAGGTGTGTTAAGATGCGTTCAGGTGTTCAGATGCGTTCAGGTGTGTTAAGATGCATTCAGGTGTGTTAAGATGCATTCAGGTGTTCAGATGCGTTCAGGTGTTCAGATGCGTTCAGGTGTTCAGATGCGTTCAGGTGTTCAGATGCGTTCAGGTGTTCAGATGCGTTCAGGTGTTCAGATGCGTTCAGGTGTTCAGGTGCGTTCAGGTGTGTTAAGGTGCGTTTCAGGTGTTCAGGTGCGTTCAGGTGTGTTAAGATGCGTTCAGGTGTTCAGATGCGTTCAGGTGTTCAGGGTGTTAAGATGTGTTCAGGTGTTCAATGCGTTCAGGTGTCAGATGTTCAGGTGTCAGGTGTGTTAAGATGTGTTAGGTGCGTTCAGGTGTTCATGCGTTCAGGTGTTTCAGATGCGTTCAGGTGTTCAGTGCGTTCAGGTGTTCAGATGCGTTCAGGTGTTCAGATGCGTTCAGGTGTGTTAAGATGCATTCAGTGTTCAGATGCGTTCAGGTGTTCAGATGCGTTCAGGTGTTCAGGTGCGTTCAGGTGTGTTAAGATGCGTTCAGGTGTTCAGATGCGTTCAGGTGTTCAGATGCGTTCAGGTGTTCAGATGCGTTCAGGTGTTCAGATGCGTTCAGGTGTTCAGGTGTGTTAAGATGCGTTCAGGTGTGTTAAGATGTGTTAAGGTGCGTTCAGGTGTTCAGGTGCGTTCAGGTGTTCAGATGCGTTCAGGTGTTCAGGTGTGTTAAGATGCGTTCAGGTGTGTTAAGATGTGTTCAGGTGTTCAGGTGCGTTCAGGTGTGTTAAGGTGCGTTCAGGTGTTCAGGTGCGTTCAGGTGTGTTAAGATGCGTTCAGGTGTGTTAAGATGTGTTCAGGTGTTCAGGTGCGTTCAGGTGTGTTAAGATGCGTTCAGGTGTTAAGATGCGTTCAGGTGTTAAGGTGCGTTCAGGTGTTCAGGTGCGTTCAGGTGTGTTAAGATGCGTTCAGGTGTTCAGGTGCGTTCAGGTGTTCAGGTGCGTTCAGGTGTGTTAAGGTGCGTTCAGGTGCGTTCAGGTGTGTTAAGGTGCGTTCAGGTGTGTTAAGATGCGTTCAGGTGTGTTCAGGTGTGTTAAGATGCGTTCAGGTGTTCAGGTGTGTTAAGATGCGTTCAGGTGTGTTAAGATGTGTTCAGGTGTGTTAAGATGCGTTCAGGTGTTAAGATGCGTTCAGGTGTTAAGGTGCGTTCAGGTGTTCAGGTGCGTTCAGGTGTGTTAAGATGCGTTCAGGTGTTCAGGTGCGTTCAGGTGTGTTAAGATGTGTTCAGGTGTTCAGGTGCGTTCAGGTGTTCAGGTGCGTTCAGGTGTGTTAAGGTGCGTTCAGGTGCGTTCAGGTGTGTTAAATGCGTTCAGGTGTTCAGGTTTGCTGCTGTTTATCTCCATTCAACAACACAAAGGTTTCCGTCTGCAGCTGCTTCCTCTCTGAGGTCCTGAATGAACAAACAGGAGCGTCTCAAACATTCCCAGCATTCCTGGCGCCGCCGCCGGCTGACATCGCTCCTCACCTTCAGTCCGTCTGCAACGCAGCTCCGCCCACCTCCGGGGTCAAAGGGTAAACGGGTGAAAGTTCAGTCTCATGGTGGAAAGCTTCGATCCGAACGGAGGCAGATATGTCAGAGGTTCTCCGGGTCCGGACAGGTGGAGTCGGTCGGCAGGTGTGTTTTCCTGGCTGAAGTCCGGCTTCGGTTTTTGCAGGAAGAACCTGAATCCAGAATGAACTTTACGACCCGGAATGATCCGGAGCGTTCCAGGAATACGAGCAGAAACGGATCAGCCTCAGCTGGTTTTCCTGCTCAGCTGCAGAGATTTATCCCAGCATGTTGAGTTGGACCTGAAGGCGGCGGTTCTGGACCGGCCCAGCTCAACCCGATGGTTTCGGACCTGCATTCCTGCACTGTCCCAAACCAAAACCACCTGATGGTGTCTGGAGTTATTTCTGGCTGTTTGTTTGCAGAGCAGGCGGGAAAGTAATGACAGGTTCCCAGGATGGTTGCTGCACCTGCTGACCCACTCTGACCCGGTTCTGGTTCTGATTCAACTGTTTCTGGAAGGGTTCAGGATCCACAGCTTCCTGCTGAAACTCACCTGCTTTAATGAATAGGTCAGCGGCAGAGTTCTGCAGGATCTGCTCGGGTTTTCTGCAGTTAGAAACACCTGGTTCTGGTTCTGGTTCTGGAGTGGATCCCATTCCCATCCATCACTCTGCTGCAGGAAAAACCCTTCAGTTAAAAAGCTCTAGGGATATGAAACCTGAGCTGCAGCAGCTCTTCAGAACCAGCAGCCATCCTGCCAGTAGAATCAGGTCTCCTTGGGTCTCTCCGGGTCTCTCCGGGTCTCTCCGGGTCTGACCGGGTCTCTCCGGGTCTCTCCGGGTCTCTCCGGGTCTGACCGGGTCTCTCCGGGTCTCTCCGGGTCTGACCGGGTCTCTCCGGGTCTTTCCGGGTCTTTCCAGGTCTCCCCGGGTTTCTCCACACAAACGATCAAAAATAGCAGCAATAATAATCAGAAGCTGATCCATAAATAAAACTGACTGATAAATAAACACTTTACCTTCAACCTGGATCACCTGACGTGGTCCTCCTGTCTCTGGGTCAAAGGTCATCCTACCACAGAACGTCACGGGGACGTTTACGTTCTTCCTGCGGTTCATATTCTGAGCAGAGGCGACGTCACACTGTGTGCGGCTAAACAGAGATTTAGTAATTCAGCTCAAATGGCTGCAAGTTTCCCATTGAAACTGCCTGTGTTAGCGGTTAGCAGCTAGCATGTTGTGCAGTAATTGTTGCCTGATGAGTTTTTCATGCTAACCTTTCGCCAGTTGGAAAATCTCACATCAACAAAATCTCAAAACAGGAAAACCTGAAACTCCAGATCATTGAATGTAAGACAGAAAACAGGCAGAAACGGCAGCAACATTTTCTAAAGTAGCAAACAGGCTGCAGGCTGGTTAACCTTTCCGTTTCTGGGTGAAGTCCTGCTCTCTCTCGCTCAGTCGCAGCCTGACTCGCTGGTTCCTCTGGCTGCGTTTAAAAACCTTTGTCACTCAGAGGACGGCTTCCTGCAGCAGGAACGTCCACACTGAAGAGTGTTGTCAGGCTGAGCAGCTGCCTCTCTGTTGGCGGACAGCAGAGCCGCCGAGATCACCCGACCCCTGACCTCTGACCCTGAGCTGCAGTGGGAGAGGAAACGGCAAATCTGAGCCACTGGGCGGAAGAGCAGAGAGGATGATGATGAGGAAGAGGAGGAGGATGATGATGAGGAAGAGGAGGATGATGATGATGAGGAAGAGGAGGATGATGATGATGAGGAAGAGGAGGAAGCTGCAGGATTGATCGGATTGATGCGGTAAACCTGGAGGATAGAGTTTCTGCTGAGGAGGGAGAGGCAGGCAGGCTGCAGCTGGAGCTGATTGGCTGGCGGGCGGCGGCTGCTCCGGCCAATCCCGTCTGACCTTGTGTGTGTGTGTGTGTGTGTGTGTGTGTGTGTGTGTGTGTGTGTGTCCTCCTCAGATGATGGGGAACAGCTGCGATCGAGGTATGTTTCAGTCATGTGACCGCTCGTCTCACTTCCTGCAGCATGCTGCCTGAACTTTGTGTCTGGAACAAAGAGCGGCGACGGCGTGTGGGACCGCCGCCGCCGCCGCTGCGTCTCCCCCCGGCTGCTTCTGTGTGTGTGTGCATGAAAGTTCCTGCTGCGGCGCTGCTGCATGCAGCGAGCGTCGTCCGGCCCGGCTGCTGCTGCATGCTGCGTTCGCTGCAGCTCCGACGTTCCCGTTGCAGGAGCCCTCCATCGCATGTAAACATGAGGACGGTGCTCGCTGCTGATTGGACGCTTCGGAATCAGATCAGAGCCAATGTCTGTCTCCGGTTTAGTTCTGCTGGTTTGGTTCAGTTTGCAGCAGTTTTCCTTCAGCAGTGGAGCGTTGAGCTTCATGGTCCAGACATCGTTCTGGTCACCTGATCTGTGAGGAACCCTGAGCTTCCTCCACCTGCTGGAACCCTCTGACCGTCCATCCGTCCCGTTTGTCCTTCATCGTCTCTGAATGACATCAGTCCGTCCATCCAGACGATGACGGACAATAGTGGGAAAAACAGGCAGCTCTGGTTGACATGAACTGATTGTCTCTCTGTCTCTCTCTCTGTCTGTCTCCTCAGAAGTGTCTTCGGAGCGTTCTCCGAGGAGGAGGAGCATTTCCGGTTTGGGCAGCTCAGAGAAGAACCTCGCGGCCGACAATCCCAACTCTTCTCCTTTCAAAGTGCCGGTGAGTCCTCCATGTCCTCCATGTCCTCCAGGACATTTATATCCTGGAGACACATCATGTCGGTTCCTTCAGGCTGTCCAGATGTGTTTGAAGGTCCCAGTTCTAGTTTAGTTGTGCTATTTCTTAGCTTCGGGTTACATCCTGGTCACCTGAAGGACCTGGCTAAAGACGAGTCCAACTGCTCTGAAAATCTAGTCCATGTCGTACTTTATTAGAACATTTAGTGTTGGTCCAAGTCCTAATAAGACAAATCCACGCTGAGTTCCTAAAAGTTAAATGGCAGCAGCAGCGGCCTGGCAGCAGCAGCAGCCTGGCAGCAGCAGCGGCCTGGCAGCAGCAGCGGCCTGGCAGCAGCAGCAGCCTGGCAGCAGCAGCAGCCTGGCAGCAGCAGCAGCCTGGCAGCAGCAGCAGCCTGGCAGCAGCAGCAGCCTGGCAGCAGCAGCAGCAGCCTGGCAGCAGCAGCAGCCTGGCAGCAGCAGCAGCAGCCTGGGCAGCAGCAGCAGCAGCAGCCTGGCAGCAGCAGCAGCCTGGCAGCAGCAGCAGCCTGGCAGTAGCAGCAGCCTGGCAGCAGCAGCAGCCTGGCAGCAGCAGCAGCCTGGCAGCAGCAGCAGCAGCCTGGCAGCAGCAGCAGCAGCCTGGCAGCAGCAGCAGCCTGGCAGCAGCAGCAGCAGCCTGGCAGTAGCAGCAGCAGCCTGGCAGTAGCAGCAGCCTGGCAGCAGCAGCAGCCTGGCAGCAGCAGCAGCCTGGCAGCAGCAGCAGCAGCCTGGCAGCAGCAGCAGCAGCCTGGCAGCAGCAGCAGCCTGGCAGCAGCAGCAGCCTGGCAGCAGCAGCAGCCTGGCAGCAGCAGCAGCCTGGCAGCAGCAGCAGCCTGGCAGCAGCAGCAGCAGCCTGGCAGCAGCAGCAGCAGCCTGGCAGCAGCAGCAGCAGCCTGGCAGTAGCAGCAGCGGCCTGGCAGCAGCAGCAGCAGCCTGGCAGCAGCAGCGGCCTGGCAGCAGCAGCAGCAGCCTGGCAGCAGCAGCAGCCTGGCAGCAGCAGCGGCCTGGCAGCAGCAGCAGCCTGGCAGCAGCAGCAGCAGCCTGGCAGCAGCAGCAGCCTGGCAGTAGCAGCAGCCTGGCAGCAGCAGCAGCCTGGCAGCAGCAGCAGCAGCCTGGCAGCAGCAGCAGCAGCCTGGCAGCAGCAGCAGCAGCCTGGCAGTAGCAGCAGCCTGGCAGCAGCAGCGGCCTGTGGATGGGCGTCACAGAGCAGACTCTGCGAAAGGGAAAGATCTCTAAATTGGGACAGCTGGGGGTCAGAGGTCATCGCCTCGGCCTGACTCGGTTCTGCTTCTCCTTCAGAACTTCTTCAGCAAACGTCTGAAAGGCTCCATCAAGAGAACCAAGAGCCAGACCAAACTGGACCGGAACACCAGCTTCAGACTGCCGTCGCTGCGGCCCGCCGAGCCGGACAGGTACCACTCCGCTCACAGCCCGACCAGAACCAGAACCACAGGTCTGTCTGTGAACTAAACTCATCGATGATGCAGACGGGTTCTGGTTCTGCTTCTGGTCACAAGTTGTAGGTCTGTTCAGTTGTAAGGTACTGACCCGGTGAACACGTGGGTCGGATCAGCAGAACCCAAGAAGTTCTGGCTGTGGTTCTGATGGCCTCCGACCGGACCAGAACCAGCTGAAACACGGCTGCAGAAGCCGGAAGAAGGAAAGATTCTGTAACTAGTTCTGGTTCTGTTGGACCGGCCCTGAAACAGAACCTATCAAGATCCTTTTCCTCCCTGGTTCTGGCCCTGTTCTGGCCCGGTATTAACCCGGTTCTGCTCCAGGGCCCGCGGGCTGCCCCGGCTGAAGGAGACGGTTTCCCATGAGTCCTTGCTGAGCCCCGGCGGCGCCGCCGAGGCTCTGGACCTCAGCATGGAGGAGGACGTGTTCATCAAGCCTCTGCACAGCAGCGTCCTGGGCCAGGAGTTCTGCTTCGAGGTGAGGCCGGCCCGGTTCCGGCCCGGTTCCGCCTGCCGGAACCGGGCTCACTTGCCTCCTCGCCCCCAGGTGACCTACGCTGGAGGCAGCAAGTGCTTCAGCTGCACGTCGGCCTCGGAGCGAGACAAGTGGATGGAGAACCTGAGGAGAACCGTCCAGCCCAACAAGGTGAGACCCGGTCTGGTTCTGGACCCGGCCCGGTTCTGGACTTGGCCCGGTTCTGGTCCTGGTCTGGTTCTGGACCCGGTCTGGTTCTGGTCCTGGCCCAGTTATGTTCCCGGCCCGGTTCTGTTCCTGGCCCGGTTCTGGACCCGGCCCGGTTCTGAACCCGGCCCGGTTCTGTTCCCGGCCCGGTTCTGGACCCGGTCTGGTTCTGGACCCGGTCTGGTTCTGGTCCTGGCCCAGTTCTGTTCCCGGCCCGGTTCTGTTCCTGGCCCGGTTCTGGACCCGGTACCGGCACCACCAGAAGCTTCCAGTATTTAGAGTTCAGTGTTGGAGCTTCTTAGAAACAGAATCAAGTCGTTTGTTTTATTGATAAAATCATTTATCAATTTATTGGCAGTTTCTCATGTTACTTATTAAAAACATGAGAAAAAAGTTTAATGACACTTTTACAGATAAAGACATTTTTCTCTTTTATCTCCAATATTAAACATTTCTGTTGCTTAAAGAATCAGATATTCTCTCATTAAATCTCAGCAGCTTTGCAGAGTCAATATTTTAGTGGATTTTAATGAAAGTGATTTTTCTCATCCTGCAGGTTGTTTTGCTGCTCTGGCAGATTATTTCCATGATAACATGATAAAGTTGAATTTAAGGAATCTGCCATGTTTTCAGCTGAAAGTGGATCAGAAACATTGAGGTTCTGATTTGATTCTCATAGTTAATAATTCCCACAGGAGGGAAGATTGAAATAAAATCCACTTCCTGAAAATAGAAATCTGATCTGGTATGAAGTAGAGTACTGATTGGCTGCGTGGCCCGGCCCGGTTCTGTTCCCGGCCCTGGTTCTGTTCCCGGCCCTGGTTCTGGACCCGGTCTGGTTCTGTTCCCGGCCCTGGTTCTGGACCCGGTCTGGTTCTGTTCCCGGCCCTGGTTCTGGACCCGGTCTGGTTCTGTTCCCGGCCCTGGTTCTGGACCCGGTCTGGTTCTGTTCCCGGCCTGGTTCTGGACCCGGTCTGGTCTGGTTCCGCCCTGTTCTGGACCCGGTCTGGTTCTGTTCCCGGTCTGGTTCTGGACCCGGCCCGGTTTTGTTCCCGGCCCGGTTCTGGTCGGTTCTGGTTCTGTGTGAACGGGTTGTGCTCGTGTCCAGGACAACTGCCGGCGGGCGGAGAACCTGCTGCGCCTGTGGATCATCGAGGCCAAAGACCTGGCGCCCAAGAAGCGCTACTTCTGCGAGCTGTGCCTGGACGACGTGCTGTACGCCCGGACCAGCAGCAAGGCCGGTCCGACAGCCTGTTCTGGGGCGAGCACTTCGACTTCAGCGGCCTGCCGGCCGTGCGCAGCGTCACCGTGCACATCTACCGCGACGGCGACAAGAAGAAGAAGAAGGACAAGAACAACTACGTGGGCCTGGTGAACATCCCGGTGGCCGGCGTGACGGGCCGCCACTTCGTGGAGAAGTGGTACCCGGTCAGCACGCCGACCGCCAGCAAGGCCAAGGGCGGCGGCCCGTCCATCCGGATCAAGTCCCGCTTCCAGACCATCTCCATCCTGCCCATGGAGCGGTACAAGGAGTTCGCCGAGTTCGTCACCAACAACTACGGCACGCTGTGCTGCGTGCTGGAGCCCGTCATCAGCGTCCGCAACAAGGAGGAGATGGCCTGCGCCCTGGTCCACATCCTGCAGAGCACGGGCCGGGCCAAGGTCAGAACCAGAACCAGCACCGCACTCCGATGCACCCACATCACATTCACATCTGCTTCGGCGCCCCCTGCTGCACAGATCCACACATTACTGTTTTATACAACAACCAGGTTCTGATAGACTGGAGCCCAAAACAGTCTGGGACTGGATGAACACATGAATAGATGGATACATGAACACATGAACACATAAATACATGAACACATGAACACATGGATACATGAACACATGAACACATAAATACATGAACACATGAACACATGAATACATGAACACATGAATACATGAACACATGAACACATAAATACATGAACACATGAATACATGAACACATGAATACATGAACACATGGATACATAAATACATGACACATGAATACATGGATACATGAACACATGAATACATGAACACATGAATACATGAACACATAAATACATGAATACATGAACACGTGAATACATGAACACATGGATACATGAACACATGAATACATGAACACATGAATACATAAAACATGAATACATGAACATATGAACACATGAACACATGGATACATGAACACATGAACAATAAATACATGAACACATGAATACATGAACACATGAACACATAAATACATGAACACATGAACACATGGATACATGGATACATGAATACATGGATACATGAACACATGAACACAAAAATACATGAACACATGAATACATGAACACATGGATACATGAACACATGACACATGGATACATGAACACATAAATACATGAATACATGAACACATGAATACATGAACACATGAACACATAAATACATGAGCACATGAACACATAAATACATGAACACATGAATACATGAACACATGGATACATGAACACATGAATACATGAACACATGAACACATGGATACATGAACACATGAATACATGAACACATGAACACATGAATACATGAACACATGAATACATGAACACATGGATACATGAACACATGAATACATGAACACATGAATACATGAACACATGGATACATGAACACATGGATACATGAACACATGAATACATGAACACATGAACACATGAACACATGAATACATGAACACATGAATACATGAACACATAAATACATGAATACATGAACACGTGAATACATGAACACATGGATACATGAACACATGAATACATGAACACATGAATACATGAACACATGAATACATGAACATATGAACACATGAACACATGGATACATGAACACATGAACAAATAAATACATGAACACATGAATACATGAACACATGAACACATAAATACATGAACACATGAACACATGGATACATGGATACATGAATACATGGATACATGAACACATGAACACAAAAATACATGAACACATGAATACATGACACATGGATACATGAACACATGAACACATGGATACATGAACACATAAATACATGAATACATGAACACATGAATACATGAACACATGAACACATAAATATATGAGCACATGACACATAAATACATGAACACATGAATACATGAACACATGGATACATGAACACATGAACACATGGATACATGAATACATGAACACATGAATACATGAATACATGAACACATGAATACATGAACACATGGATACATGAACACATGAATACATGAACACATGAATACATGGATACATGAACACATGAATACATGAACACATGAATACATAAATACATGAACACATGAACACATGGATACATGAACACATGAACACATGAATACATGAACACATGAATACATGAACACATGGATACATGAATACATGAACACATGAATACATGAACACATAAATACATGAACACATGAATACATGAACACATGAATACATGAACACATGAATACATGAACACATGAATACATGAACACATAAATACATGAACACATGAATACATGAATACATGAACACATGGATACATGAACACATGAATACATGAACACATGGATACATGAACACATGAACACATAAATAAATGAACACATGAACACATAGATACATGAACACATGAACACATAAAAACATGAACACATGAATACATGAACACATGGATACATGAACACATGAACACATAAATACATGAACACATAAATACATGAACACATGAACACATAAATGAACACATGAATACATGAACACATGAATACATGAACACATGGATACATGAACACGTGAATACATGAATACATGAACACATGAACACATAATACATGAACACATGAATACATGAACATATGAATACATGAACACATGAACACATAAATACATGAACACATGAATACATGAACACATGAATACATGAACACATAAATACATGAACACATGAATACATGAACACATGAATACATGAATACATGAACACATGGATACAGGAACACATAAATACATGAACACATGAATACATGAACACATGAATACATGAACACATGAACACATGAACACATAAACACATGAACACATGAATACATGAACACATGGATACATGAACACATGAACACATAAATACATGAACACATAAATACATGAACACATGAACACATAAATGAACACATGAATACATGAACACATGAATACATGAACACATGGATACATGAACACGTGAATACATGAATACATGAACACATGAACACATAATACATGAACACATGAATACATGAACATATGAATACATGAACACATGAACACATAAATACATGAACACATGAATACATGAACACATGAATACATGAACACATAAATACATGAACACATGAATACATGAACACATGAATACATGAATACATGAACACATGAATACATGAACACATAAATACATGAACACATGAATACATGAACACATGAATACATGAATACATGAACACATGTATACAGGAACACATGAATACATGAACACATGAACACATAAATACATGAACACATGAATACATGAACACATGAATACATGAACACATGAATACATGAACACATGGATACATGAACACATGAACACATGGATACATGAACACATAAATACATGAATACATGAACACATGAATACATGAACACATAAATACATGAGCACATGAACACATAAATACATGAACACATGAATACATGAACACATGGATACATGAACACATGAATACATGAACACATGAATACATGAATACATGAACACATGGATACATGAACACATGAATAAATGAACACATGGATACATGAACACATGAATACATGAACACATAAATACATGACACACATAAATACATGAACACATGAATACATGAACACATGAACACATAAATACATGAACACATGAATACATGAACACATGTATACATGAACACATGAATACATGAGCACATGAATACATGAACACATGAATACATGAACACATGGATACATGAACACATGAATACATGAACACATGAATACATGAACACATAAATACATGAACACATGAATACATGAACACATGGATACATGAACACATGAATACATGAACACATGAATACATGAACACATGAAAACATGAACACATGAATACATGAACACATGAACACATGAACACATAAATACATGAATACATGAACACATGGATACATGAATACATGAACACATGAATACATGAACACATGAACACATAAATAAATGAACACATGAATACATGAACACATGAACAAATAAATACATGAACACATGAATACATGAACACATGAACACATAAATACATGAACACATGAACACATGGACACATGGATACATGAATACATGGATAAATGAACACATGAACACAAAAATACATGAACACATGAATACATGAACACATGGATACATGAACACATGAACACATGGATACATGAACACATGAACACATAAATACATGAATACATGAACACATGAATACATGAACACATGAACACATAAATACATGAGCACATGAACACATAAATACATGAACACATGAATACATGAACACATGGATACATGAACACATGAATACATGAGCACATGAATACATGAACACATGAATACATGAACACATGGATACATGAATACATGAACACATGAATACATGAACACATGAATACATGAACACATGAATACATGAACACATAAATACATGAACACATGAATACATGAACACATGACATGAACATGAATACATGAATACATGAACACATGAATACATGAACACATGAATACATGAACACATGAATACATGAACACATGGATACATGAACACATGAATACATGAACACATGAATACATGAACACATGGATACATGAACACATGAATACATGAACACATGAATACATGAACACATGGATACATGAACACATGAACACATAAATACATGAATACATGAACACATGAATACATGAACACATAAATACATGAACACATGAATACATGAACACATGGATACATGAACACATGAATACATGAACACATGAACACATGAACACATAAATACATGAACACATGAATACATGAACACATGAATACATGAACACATGAACACATAAATACATGAACACATGAATACATGAACACATAAATACATGAACACATGAATACATGAACACATGAATACATGAACACATGAATACATAAACACATGGATACATGAACACATGAACACATGGATACATGAACAAATAAATACATGAACACATAAATACATGAGCACATGAACACATAAATACATGAACACATGAACACATGGATACATGAACACATGAATACATGAACACATGAACACATGGATACATGAACACATGAATACATGAGCACATGAATACATGAACACATGAATACATGAACACATGGATACATGAATACATGAACACATGAATACATGAACACATGAATACATGAACACATGAATACATGAACACATGAATACATGAACACATGAATACATGAATACATGAACACATGAATACATGAACACATGAATACATGAACACATGAATAC